ACCTATGAGTTAGCAATATTTCATGCAAGCTACAAATGCATTAACAATATTATCTTAGAGTCAAGATACAGAGGAGTCAATTTTAACAACCTGGTCAATAGCTTTATAAATTTACAATCTCTCTTTTATGTCTTAGCAATAAAAGACTATTTAATTATAATGGTCAAAACTCTTCAGCATTTTCTGTGATTTTGAAAAATAATGTTTGATATGTATTAAGTTATAGATTTAATTGTAATTGTATTCATTTATACTACCAAAAAGACAATTTTGTTTAACAGTTAGTACTACTAAATGAAACCAGACTTGTCAAAACTTTTATATTATGATGCTTCCAACCGGAGATCCCCACCAAGCTCTAGTTCAGGGCCTCTTTACCCTAAACTGGACTATTAAAAAAAAAAAGACAACATTGAACCATAAATCATTTAGATACAACATATTAACAAGGAGAAACCTGTGTAGTTTGACTTGCTTGGCATTTATCTTAACCCCTCCTTAAGTAGTTGTTTTTATTTTCGTTTTTTGAATCAGAGCTTTCTGATCATTTCACCACTGCTAGTCTATTTTCCATGATTCACTTTTCTAATACTCTTTTTTCTATTCTGACTCTTTCCCAGTTGCTTGTTTAGGCAACAAATCACCAAGTTCCATTTGTGTCATCATTTCTACCTCTTGGCTCCCCATAAACATCTCCCCCTCAAACAACTACCTTTGCTTTGTATTTACTCTTCAGTCTCTGTAAATATTTGGGTATAGAAGTGGTGCCAGTGTGGTCTAATTAAAGTCTGGTTGGAGTAGAAGAGGCCAGGTGGTGCCCTGACTAGTTGCTATGGAACTTGTCCTCTACTTTGGAGGCCAAAGACACACTCTAGCTGGTGTCCACGTCTAAAGAGGTCTTGAGAAACTGAGTAGCAATAGCTAAAATCCAAACAAAACTTTAAGTAGACACCAGAATAGCAATTTAGTGATTTATTGTGAGAAATAACTGTTAGGAAAATGGAGAAGCTGAAAACCTATGTAGTCATTTCATCCTCCCCCTACGACCAGCTCTATGAAAAAATTTCAGTGACCCCTATAAGTTTTTTTATAATCATCTCCATTAGCTAATTACTTGACCTTTTGAGTTGTTTCTCAGAAATGGTGGGTTTTCCACAAGACAAAGTGTTACCGAAAGCTTCGCACTTGCCCACATCAGGCTGCATCAGAAGAAAGGACAAATGGTTTGAGGAGAAGGAAAGAGAAGTTTATTAATTTTCCAGCAAATGAGGTTGGCAGACTTCCCTCTTAAAGTGCCAGCATCCTGCCTCTGAGCAGAAATACATAGCTTTTGAAGGGGAGGTTTTCAGCTTCAGGCTATTGCTGTTCAGCTATAGTTGAAGGTTCTGATTCATCCTATCTTTGGCAAAAACATTCTCCTGACATCAACCCGGACAATTCCTGGGAGCCATCTCCTGTGGCGCAAAGAACAAAGGACACTCCCCTGCCCCTCCCCATCACGGCCACTGGCCTGGGGCAGGGATGCGGGGATCCCTGCATCCCTGCATCCCTGCAGGGATGTTTTAATTCCCACAAGGAGTTGCGGAGGTTTTAGAGAGACAGAAAACATTTTTACCCTTTCTCAGGCCTTTCCTCCTGTTACAAAAGGAGTTAAGATTCTGAAGTTCCCGGGAAGACTTCCTGATGCCAAGACTCACTGTCCCCTCCACCCGTCCCAAGGCATATGATGGGTTTGAGGCAGCTTCTCCTGTTCTCTCAGCAAAGCGTCTTTCCTATTAAAAATTCCTCTCTTCCTTGGCAATCCTGGTTGTCTCGATAATTGGATCTTTGTGCGAGGAGCAACTAGACCTAGGCCAAACCCCCCTTGTGTGTTTGATAACATTCCTGTAGTCAATTTACATGGGAATGACAATAATCAGGTAGAGTTCCTTTGGTAAGATTAAAGTCAAAATAAAAGGAATTTGCTTCAATTTATGAAAGGCCCCTCTGTGATAGAGTAAGAAACATCAGTGAAGGTTAGGTAATGTAAAGAGTAAAGTCAACCAGGAAGCGGATCTGGAAACTGGAGAAGGTGGGCCTGTTTAGAGTCCTCTTGGCTACTCAGATCCAAGAAATTATTGCCCCAGTTTTGCCAGAGCACTGATTTTTCAATAAAACCCAGAAATATGAGTTTCAAAAAAAATTATGGGTTTGTGGCTAAACCTGTTCTCAATTTGAGCATTAAACAGTGATAGCAAAAATTATAATCCATTGTATACATATATGTATTATGATCAATTGAATGAGTTGATACTGATGTATAAGTAAAATCACAGGGGAGGAGGGGAAGGTCTTCCTTACAGTAAAAATCCAGCTAATAAATGGCAAAAGAATGGTATCTTCACAATGGAGATACCTGGAAGAAAATACCTTAACACAGTGATGAAAGTTAACATCACCAGTAATAGGGCAAATCCAACATTAGTGCCTCTTGAAATGATGCACTAAGAGGATAAGAGAGGAGTGCAAAAGACTATTTTTTTTTTTTAAAAAAAGAAAGGTAGGTGCAGTGGCTCTTGCCTGTGATCCTAGCACTCTGGGAAGCTGAGATGGGAGGATCCCTTGAGCTCAGGAGTTTGAGATCAGCCTGAACAAGAGCAAGACCCCATCTCTACAAAAAATACAAAAATTACCCAGGCGTGGTGGCATGTACTTATAGTCCTAGCACTTTGGGAGGCTGAGGCAGGAGAACCGCTTGAGCCCAGGAGTTCGAGGTTGCTGTGAGCTAGGCTGACTCCACGGCACTCTAGCCTGGGCAATAGAACAAGACTCTGTTTCAAAAAAAATAAATAAATAAAAATAAAAAAAAATTCAAAAAGGAAGATAAAAACATCACTCCGTGATATTCCTCAAAAAATGCATAAATGTAACCTAATCATAAAGAAATATCACACAAAGCCAACTTGAGGGCCATCTATAGAACAAGTGATGTGTACTGTTCAAATGTCAATATCATGAAAGACTAAAGAATGGCTCCAAATAAAAGGAGGCTAAAGAGACATGAATGGAATCAATGCTCAATCTGGGATTTTTGTTATTGTTATAAAGGGCATCGGTGAAATCTGAATAAGGTCTGTAGAATACGTGATAATATTGAACCAATGTTAATTTTTTGATTTTGATAATTTGATAATTTTTGTAATTTTGGCTAGAGAAGAAATACACACTGAAGTATTTAGGGGTAAGGAGGTACTATGTCTGCAAGTTACTATCAAATAGTTATAAAAAATACACATACATAAATATATAGAAAGAAATAAAAAAGCAAATGTAAAATACTAACATTAATGCATTTGGGTGAAAAGTATACAGAAATTTTTTGTATTATTCTTGCAACTTTTCCGTCAGCATGAAATTACATCAAAATGTAAATTTGCAAACAATCACCGGTTTTAATCAATGGTCCATACAGAGGGCTTACAACTGAACACAGAACGCTCGGAGTCCTCTGGGGGCACCTTTGGAGTCACAGTGAACAGGATGCACAAGGACCGAGTAGCTGTATCTTCCCTTTTCTTCTTGTTCTCTTAGACGTCTAAATACAATTGTCAGTGCTACAGTTTTACTTACTGAGAGAGCCCAACTAGAGCCATACTCTGTTCGGGAACATTTCAGCTTCCTATTTACAAGGTATCGTCTAGGTCTGCGGCTGCTACCTTTAGGAACAACTTTCCCCTCTCAGTGTTAATGTCACAGTTTAAATTGTTTTCAGGGGGCAATCCCCAATTCTAAGTTTTAGGGTATAATTTCCAAATACTGACAACATCTTTACCCTCCCTTCCCCTAGGTAGACTAAATACATGGCAGCTCCTGCCCTAATTAAACTGCTTTAATAACTAAAACCCTGAGTTCCCTGCAAGTCTCAAATCTTTATTTCTTTCTGGATTTCTTTGTCCCTGGCCTAATCCTAGGCATACACAGGGCTTTGCTCTCAAAAGCATTTATTATAGTCATGTTAGTAATTACACATTCCCCTGCAAGCAAATGCTTTCAGGGAACACACTAATGTACATTTCAGCAAGTGCTCTTGAATTATAATGAACATTTCCATTTTAATAAGGTTTGACTAAAGTGCAGCTGCCTCTGCAAATTATCTAAAACGGTACAGTACCTGCAGTAGAAATTCAGTCGTGCCTGTGCTAGGGATCATCAAAGGCGAGCTGATTTCCACCTTCATTTCTCTTCCATAAAAGGAGAGATTTGCTGGATGAGCCACTTTAATAGCAGAGGAAGCAGCACATTGATTTTTTGACAGGGTGACTGAGAAGAATGGTGAGGAGTGGGTGAAATCAACTGAGCAAAATGAGAGATGGATGATAATGGTTCAGGACAAGCCGGGATGCTGACAGCGAGGGTTGGGTGTGAATTAGAATAATGAAAACGCTCTTCCGGAAACTGTTTGGAGGGAAGGAAACCGTGTTTACATGGATTTTTTCAAACAGAATTAAATTCAAGACTTTTCTATGATTGTTACAGAAACCATTCAGCAAAGCAAAATGTGGCAAAACATGGCACCATGTGGGCCATGGGACTTTACCCTGAGGATCCCGATGGGAAGAATGCGACTTCTAAATGAGAGAAGGATTGGAAAATGTAGGTGGTAAAGAGAAAGGAAGAAAACAGGTGGAAGGGAAAAGCTTTGATGTTGTTTGAGTAAAGAGTGGGAAGGAGAGTCAAGAATAGGTAGAGAAGTAAGGAGGGAGGTGAGATGGAGGGAAGGTGGAGAGGGGAAAAAAGCGTTGTGACAACTGGTGTTTTAGAGGAATGGTGGTCGGAAACCATTTCCAGATTTAATAGGAGCAGCAGCCACTGCTAGGAAGCTTAAAGCCCGGAACTGGTAAGTATTTCAAATCTGAACTGATCATATAAAGTGGTCTCTTAGCCATTTTAAGGAAAATGGGACAGGTTCTGCTCCCACTCAGGGTAGGCGGGGGATCTGCCCGCTTGCCCTTTTTCTCAGAATGGGGAGAGCGGCCTTCTTTGCGCCCGCCCTGCAATCCGCGAGCCCCGCCAGGCGCAGCGTGCGGCCACCGCCGGCAGGAGCGAGGGGACCGCTCGGGCTGCGGAGCCCCTGTCCGGAGGCTGCTTTGTCGGAGGCTGCTTTGTCGGCGGCTCTGCGGCTTCCACGTGGGCAGACCTGGCCAGACGTCGGCTTTGTTTCATCAGCAATTTCTTTATCTTCCTTCGCGTTACCCAACCCCGACATCAGCCTACGAGTGCGCCTTCTACTTCTTGCCCGCGTAATAAGCAGGCAGTATTCCTGCATTCGAGTACAGGTCCCATTTTCTCCCACTTTCTGTAGGAATTTACACAGTGTTCTCCTTTCAATACTATCTGCAAAAGCCGATGCTCCTCTCTGCCGAGTGTCGCTGTCCGCGCCCCCGCAGGCTCGGACCCCGCGCTGAGAAAGCCCCGGCCGAGCCCAGCTCCGCAGAGTCACGCACTCCCCGCACCTCCTCGCCCCCCGGGCGCCTCAACCCTCCCTCACTTCCTAGGACTCTGTCATATCCGTTACCGACTTCCACAGAGCCGCATCTAACAAGCTTCTCCGTCCTTATTTTCCTCGGTTCTCATCAGCTTTGCATCTAGGTGTCAGTTTTCAGTTCATTCGTTTTCTTCGTTCTTTCTTTTTCTCTTTCCTTCCTTCTTTCTTTCCTGTTAACCTGTTTGCCTGTGTCCACAACGCAAACGTAAAGGCCTATCCTGTGCTGCGGTCCCCAAGCCCCCAGCCTCGGCCCGTTACCGGCCGGTGGCCTGTTAGGAAGCAGCGTGGCATCACCCTGAGCCCCGCGCCACACCTTCCCTCCCTGCCCCATCCCGGTCTGTGGGAAAGGGGTCTCCCATGAAACCGGCCCCTGGTGCCGAAAGGGTTGGGGACTGCTGGACAGAGGGCAGGGAATGCGCAGGTAACATAGCAGAGTCACACGGTCTGCGTTTGGACCACAGTCGCAGTCTCCGGGCTGTTATTTAACTTCTCTCAACCTCAGTTTTCTAATCTATAAGATGCGGACAATAACGCAAACCTCCAGAGTTGGTGTGGGAAGCAAATGAGTCTATAAAGACACAGTCTTGAATTCCTGGCCTCGAGCAGTCCTCCTGCCTCGGCCTCCCAAAGTGCTGGGATTAGGGTGTGAGCCACCACACCCTATACATATAGAGTAATTAGCAAAAAGTCTGGTGTATCACGAGCATTCCACAACTCTTTTATTGTTAACTTTTTATTCCCCAATAGCTAATATAGTGCATAGAATACAGTAGGCTCCTCTTAAATTTTGTTCAATGATTAAATAAATGCATAAATTGTAAATTAAATAAATGAATAAATAAACTCAATTAAACTCAGAGTTGTTTTAAGGATGAGACAAAGTACATGTGAAGTGATGAAAACAGTGCCAGGTACACCGAGTGCTCAGGGAAGCTTTATCCTTAGTACTCAAAGAGGCTGCTCAGCTGATCAATTGATATGATTAAGAACTACACTCAGGGCTCTTATCTAAAGCAATCGTCATCTTTAATTGTTCACTGGGTCCCACCCTTCCCATGTGATCAAGGATGTAGCTCCTGCGATTATCTCCCTTTATCTTATTTTTTTTGCTCTCTCTTTACTGGATCCCCTACAGGAAATATACCTGCTGAAACAATTTAGCAGTTTTTTCCTTGACTCCCATCCCCCTCCAATGACCATCCCATTTCTCTTCTTTTTGCAATTAAACTCTTTGAAGGAGCTGTCTATTACCTCTGTCTCTGGTTCATCCCCTACAATTTTCCCTTAACCTATTCCCATCTTACTTGCTTCCCACCTCTCCACAGAAACTTCCTTTGTCAAGGTGGCTAATGATTTACACATTGTCAAGTCAAATGTTAAAGTCAGTTTACTTTAGCAATCAACAACAGTGACAGTTGCTTCCTCCTTTTTTGAAACTTTCTTCACTTGTTTTCTAGGACACGTTTCATTCTCGATTATTCTTTTGCTTAACTAGCTGACTTTTTCTTAGCCTCCTTTGCTGGTTCCTCCTCATATTTCCAATTTTCAAGTTTTGTCTTAGTATTAGAACCTTACTGCCCGGCACGGTGGCTCATGCCTGTATTCCTAGCACTCTGGGAGGCCAAGACGGGAGGATCGTTTGAGCTCAGGAGTTTGAGACCAGCCTGAGCAAGAGCAAGACCATCTCTACTAAAAAATAGAAAAAATTAGCTGGGTGTGTCGCTGCACATCTATAGTCCCAGCTACTCGGGAGGCTGAGGCAGGAGGATCACTTGAGCCCAGGAGTTTGAGGTTGCTGTGAGCTGGACTGATGCCAGGGCACTCTAGCCTGGGCAACAGAGCAAGATTCTGTCTCAAAAAAAAAAAAAGAACCTTACCTTCTTTCTCTATATTTGGTCTTTATGTTATCCCATCCAATCCCATAGCTTTAAATATCATCTAAAAGCTGATGATTCCCAAGTTTATAGTTTCACCTTCAACCTCTCTGCAACTGCCTACATGTAATTGGCTACTAGATTTTTCCACCCAGGTACCTATTAGGCATCTCAAATGTAACATATTCAACACTGTACTCTCGACTGCACCCTCCTTTCCCTCCCCCAATTCTAACTCCTCCCACATTTTCCTGTCTCAGGTATGGTGACTCCATCCTTTCAGTTGCTCAGACCAAAACCCTTATGTTCATCTTTGATTCTTCTACACCCTTAGACAGGCCATAAACAAGTCTTGCAGGTCTATCTGGAAAATATATCGTAACTTTTTATCACCTCAGCTGCTCTCTGCTTACTTCAAGCCAAGATCGCCCCTCGGCCTGATGACTGCAGTAGCTGTCTCTTCCGTCCTCCTGCTCCCACCTCCTCCCTGCTGCGCACGCGGCTGCCACAGCGATCCTTCCAAAATGGCATGTCCTGCCTCCACTCAAAACTGCCAAATGGCTTTCTATTGAGAGCTAAAGCTGAAGGACTTCCGGTGGCTTGAAAGGTTCTATATAATCTTTTTGACACCCCCCCAACCCCCTCCCCCACCACGCTCCAGCCCCAGCAGCCGACTTGCTGTCTACAGAACAATCCAGGACGGTCCTGCCCGGCGGGTTGGCACTGCTGGCCCCTGCTTGCATCTCTCTTCCCCCAGCCGTGTTTAGGAGGCTCATTTCCTCACCTCCTCCAGGTCTCCAAGTCTCCTTTTCTGAGAGGCCTTCTTTAACCCTCTGGTATGAAACTGTCCTCTTCCTCGTCACCACTGAGATCATCCTCAGCCTGCTTATTTTTCTTCATGTTACCAATCACCCACTGATGTGTGACAAATTTCTTTATTGCCTCTTTACTTTATTCTCCTCTACTCCTTGAACCTAGAATGATAGGTATTAAAACTATTTGCCAAATCAGTAAATGGATTATTAAATGTTTTGGGGGTCTAATGACTTCTAAGTTTTTCTATGTAAGTTAAAATCGTACACATTAATAGTGTCCTGATAAAATGATAACGGGTCAATTCGCTGGAGTGGTTTGTATTGTGGACAGAAAAGTGTTGAATTTTTTGCTCAAACCAAAACCCTTATGTTCATCTTTGATTCTTCTACACCCCTTCAGCTCAGTCACCAAGTAGGTGACTGCTCCCTTCTCCTATGCGTATGTCCAGATCTGCCTGTTGGCAAAGGTAAACTTTATTTATGGAAGACTTTTTCAACTTTAAATCATTCTGCGCACTGCAATGTGTTCAAACCATTATGGAGTGACTCACGTCCCAGGCCTTCCTTTCTCGGCTCCTCCCAATCAGCTGCTAATTGACTATTTAAAATGGGCATGGGAGGAAAATCTCGTTTGAAAACAGGCCTCACTGTGATTCAGAGGTGATAAATGCACCTCTTGGCTTCGTGTCCTCCCAGAGGCACAGCGTGGCTGGCTGTTTAATCTCCTATCTGGTCCGTGACCAAGTGCAATGTGGTTTTCATTTGGATCCAATTGTGCTCATGATGGGATGATTAGGGCATTTGTTGAGGGGCCACAGCATCCTTCCTAGGAACAGAACGAAACTGTAAAATACACAACATCCCGAGTGACTTTTATTCTAAAGCCAAGTTGATATGTGAAATTTATTTGTACAATTGCGATTAAAAATAAAAACAATAAAACCAACTTTAATCTCAAATATTTATTCCTTTTCTTCTCCTGCTTATGAACCTCAGTTTTCCATGTACTGTGCATATTAGATGAAGCCTGAACTCTCATCTGAACTTATTAAAATGGTTTCAGCATTTTATGATGTATCAATACTAATAATTTAAATTTTAGAACATACCTCCCACAGAAAATTTGAAAGTATATTTGCTTCTCTTTTTCCAGGGAGATCTTATAATTGAGAGCTCATGGATATAGGCCCTAACACTTTCTAAATTTGGTAGAAATATTTGGCTGCAACTTAGATGCTTCTGCTGATAATAATTAGAAACATCATAATTATAACATTTGTTTAGTACGACTTGAGTTCACACAGTCATGTGGTGGGTTAATTAACGTGTATCTTTGTGCATGCCAACCTAACTACCAGGTTGCCTTTAAAAACAAACCTGTAAGAGGTGCTTAATTTCTAATAAAACAAATACACAGTAGGGTTAACTTTCCTAATCCCCAAGTGGTCATCAGCCTTTGCCTCACCTACAGCATCTAGCATAGGTAGACACGCCTTCCCGAGACTTTGTTCTCTCAGGCCCTGTCACGAGTAAGTGCCTTTAATTGTTTTACGTTTCCAGTAGAAGCCAACTCAATCTTACACACGCACGTGCACACACATGCACACACCACAACACACACGCACACACGCAGTACCTACCCTATAAGAGGCAGTGAGCTAGGCTAGCAAGAAGCTACTAATAAAAAAGATATAGTTCCTGTCCTCAAATACAGGTTTACAAGTTTGGGTAAGGGCTAAATTTGACATCTTTACGTTGGATACTTTTTAAAATATCACCCTAACCTACTTTTCTAACTTTACCTCCCCTGAATCTTAGATAAACTCTCTGCTGAAATGTGAAATGTCTGCCACTCTCCCCAAGCAGGCGGTGTGCGTCCTCGATTCTTACCTGGGTTTTTCTAACCTATTTTCCCACCCCTTCCCCTAAGGCCTGCTCAATCTTACCTTGTTCCCTCATCCCTGGTCTGCACAGAGTTCCCCGTTCACTTTGACGCACACTGCTTTGCTAGTCAACTTTTATTCATGTGCCTTATCTTCCCAAACTGACTGTGGCCTTCCTAAGGA